TCTTTCCTTTCATGTCTATAACAACTATGGCATTTGTAATTACTTGTTTATTTACTCTTTGTCATTTCTACTATTTTATAAATTCCATGAGGACAGACTACTTCCCAAAAACGCATTTTCCCTTACTTAAACCAAAATATATTCTTTTCATAATTTTTTCTTATATTGACAGTCAACATTTCTTTTAATTACGAAAAGCAATATACATGATTTTACCACTAAATACCATTTTTTCTCAAAAAATTAAATGAAACGTTAACTGGCTTATTAATTCTTACTCAAATATACCAGCATCAGTGGCCAGGGAAATCAAATGACTACCAAAGCATCTCTATAGTGTTCTGTTTCTAAAAACAATTTTTAATTGGATCAATAAATGTTTGATTTTCTATTATTTTATTTGAGATTTATGACATCTAACAGCTAGGTATGCTTATATGCTTATTTTAAGAAACAAAATTACATAACAGAAAATAGATTAATCAAGTATCCTTCTTAGGAGGTATAAGTAATTCAGTTTCACTGCTAGCCTTGCATGCTTTGGAAATGCTGATGAATGTATCACCTAGTGTGTTTTCCCAATTATAGAAAAGACTTACTACATGAAATCAAAAACGCTGCATTGTTATTAAATTCCCCAGGAAGGAGAAATTTGGAAGAAAACTCCTCTTTTTAAGTCATTCATCACAATCTGATTATGTTAGTCATCTGGTATTCTGTATTCAAACTACACTTTCCTTCATTTGTATGAAAATGAATTAACTTCAGTAGTAAGTGCAAAGTCTGCTCATTAAACAGGCACAGCTTGGAAAATATAAAATTCCTCCAAGCATGAAGGACATAAGCATACAAATAAAACAAAACAAACAAAAAATCATATTTCTATCTCAGGCAATTAAGTAAAACTTTCCCAAGAGCTATGAAATACTATCTAGATAGCAATCACCATTCTTCTCAAGAACAAGTTAATTCTAATGCTTCAGAATATAAATGCAACGTTCCCTGTCAAAATCACTCCCATTTCTTATTGAATTAAGCATAACTCTTCATATAGACATTTACAGTTAAACAGTTATAGTTAGATACATGGGTTCTGACCTTGCTTCCCAGACAGCTACATATATCCCACACTTCTGTTAAAGCGAAATATTGTCTATTTTTCCTGTACTTTTCAATCTCTTTGCCTTTGCCCATATTGCTCATGTAAACTCATGTTCAACTCTGAAAATTCTCTTCCTTCATTGTCTATCTCAAATGCCACTTCTTCCTCAAATTCTAATGGGGAATCTCTCTCCTTTTGAGCCACACAATAGTAAGAAATATGGCTTTTAAAAATTCTGAAACAGAACATTAAACAAATCAAATTCAGAAAGATATTAAAAGACTGATTAATATTTATTTTACAAATGTACGGTGAGTTTAACATTAGGAATTCAGCATCTATTTCATGCACAGTATATATTAAATATCAATGTTTTTCAGACAGCATGATGCTATACCTACAAATTACAGGGACCCACCTAACACTTAATAGAACTATCAAGAAACATCACTAAAGAAATTAGATAAAACATAAATATTAAAATAAAAACACAGTTTAACATTTAACCAACAAACAGAAATAAGAGATAAAAGGGGTGAGGTAGTTCATAATAGTAACAATTGTCACAGAATAAATATAATATTTTAAAACGTGAAAAAATATTTATAAAATGACTGGAATAATCGTGTATCTCCAGGAGGGAAGATTTAATATCATAAAGATGTTAATCTTCCCTAATATAATATATAAATTTAATGTAATTCCACTTAAGATTCTGGTGGAGTTTTAAGAAAATGACAAAATTGTTCTAAATTTAGAATAAATATACAAAAATTATAAACAAAATTGTTTAAGAAAAAAAGGAAGGGAGGGGTTTTTTCCAATCACATATTTAAAGTTATTATGAAGCAACTGCAATTTTTTAAAAGTATGACACAAGCACAAAAACAGAAGGTTCATAAAGAATTATCAGAAAAAAGCATATGTAAAAGGCATATATATTGTGACAATAATTCCAACGTAAGCTACTTATTCAAGAATATGGAAAAACATATATTCAAAAGTCTATTCACTAAAATAGTTACAGCAAAAGATTAGAAAACAACTGCCTACCAGAAGAAGCTGACTGGTTAAATAAATAAAATAAATTTGCAGTAAAATATTATGCTGCTGTTTGAAAGGAATAAGGTACATCTACAGGTATCCATTAAGTCTAAAAACACAGTGCTTTCCTGCAGATTAAATGTGCCTTTGACATCATTTGCCTTGATATTCATTTGCCTATGTTTCCAGACTTTATGGACACCAAATATATGTGTTGAAGATGAGAAAATATCCAAGATTATACTGTTCAATTAATAAGGCAAGTTTTTAACAATATGTATAGGATATTCCTATTTTTCTTAATTTTTAAAGAGGTGTAAATATATACTATACATGCATACATATGCTTGCTATTTGCATAGAAAATATATGAAAAGATATAAGAGTGGCTACCTTTCTAGGGATAAAAAACGGCTGGAAAAGTGGAGTTGTTAAAGGAATATTACTTTCTATGTTACTATTTCGTTTACAATTTAAAAGCAAAGCGAATCAGAAAAAAAAAGATGATAATATCATATAGTAAAGGAACAAATCAAATGCTGTGGGATCAGGAAATAAACAAACAAAAATGCCATCTGCTTCCTGGAATGGTTAAGAGAGGTTGCTCAGAGATGTTGAGGTCTGTGCTACAGCTTGAAGGATGAACAGCAGGAAGACTCCACTAGGACGATGAAGTAGCACATGTAAAGGCCTGGCAGGCCTGGCTACTGGAGGGACTACAGCATATTGAAAAAATCAGACTGCCCAAATATAAAACACAGTTATTTTTCATTCAAGCTTTTTGGTCATCCAAGATGTGGATATTTAGACAAAGTGACCTTTGACGTATCTTTGATGCTATGATTATATAATTATATTATATATCATTATGGGTTTGCCAAAAGGTTCGCTTGTGTTTTTTCCGTAAGATGGCTCTAGTAGCACTTAGTTGTCTTTAACTTCATTCAAAACAATTTTGTTAGATCGCATTGTGACAGCTGTCATATCAAGTGTGCCTTTAAAAAAAAACATCAAAATTGGTGAATTTTTGTGTAGCCGTTTTAATATTGAGGAAGGAAAAAAAGCAACATTTTCGTCATATTATGCTTTATTATTTCAAGAAAGGTAAAAGTGCAACTGAAATGCAAAAAAGGATTTGTGCAGTGAATGGAGAAGGTGCTGTGATGGATCAAACGTGTCAAAAGTGGTTTGCGAAGTTTCATGCTGGAGATTTCTCACTGGACGATGCTCCATGGTCGGACAGACCAGTTGAAGTTGACGGCAATCAAATCGAGACATAAACTGAGAACAATCAACATAATACCGTGAAGGAGATAGCTGACATACTCAAAATATCCAAATCAAGCGTTGAAAATCATTTGCACCAGCTTGGTTATCTTAATCACTTTGTTGCTTGGGTTCCACATAAGTTAAGCAAAAAAAAAACCTTCTTGACCGCATTTCCACATGCAATTCTCTACTTAAATGTAACGAAAACGTTCTGTTTTTAAAACAAATTGTGACGGGCGATGAAAAGTGGATACTGTACAATAATGTGGAATGGAACAGATCGTGGGGAAAGTGAAATGAACCACCACCAACCACACCAAAGGCTGAATGATCTTCATCCAAAGAAGGTGATGTTGTGTATATGGTGGGATTGGAAGGGAGTCCTCTATGATGAGCTCCTTCCGGAAAACCAAACGATCAATTCCAACAAGTACTGCTCCTAATTAGACCAACTGAAAGCAGCACTCAACGAAAAGCGTCCGGAATTAGTCGACAGAAAACGCATAATCTTCCATCAGGATAACGCAAGACCGCGTGTTTCTTTGATGACCAGTCAAAAACTGTTATAGCTGGGAAGTTCTGATTTATCTGCTGTATTCACCAGACATTGCATCTTCGGATTTCCATTTATTTCGGTCATTATAAAATTCTTAATGGAAAAAATTTCAATTCCCTGGAGGACTGTAAAAGGCACCTGGAACAGTTTTTTGCTCAAAAAGATAAAAAGTTTTGGGAAGACGGAATTATGAAGTTGCCTGAAAAATGGTAGATGGTGGTGGAACAAAATGGTGAATACACTGTTCAATAAAGTTCTTGGTGAAAATGAAAAATGTGTCTTTTACTTAAAAACCAAAGGAATTTCTTGACCAACCCAATATATGGTTATATTATCCTCTGAAATACCAAAAAACATTTGAAGTTTATAAAACCATAAACATTATACTATCCCACAGACAAAGCAAAAGCAAGGAGAAATTTTAAACCGATTAGAAATGAAAGGTACAACATGAATGATTTTAGTACGAAATTGACATAATATAAATTTACAATCCTTCAGCATAACTGTATGAGTAAATTTTCAAAATTCTGCCCCAGATAATTTTTTCTTCATAACTGTCAAGTGACATAAGCAGCTGTTATCACTATTTTTTGGATGGGAAACCGAGGTGAGAATAATATATGTTCCCAAAGACATATAGGTACATAGAGAAAAGACAAAATTCAAATCTTAATATACATCTGAAGAGTCAGTAGAAACTGAATTAAAAGACCGTTTTTTTTTTAAGCTGAGTATACACAAACCTCAAAAACACCCCAAGGGCTTCCCTGGTGGCGCAGTGGTTGAGAGTCCGCCTGCCGATGCAGGGGACACGGGTTCGTGCCCCGGTCCGGGAAGATCCCACATGCTGCGGAGCGGCATGCTGCGGAGCAGGCTGAGCCTGCGTGCCAGAAGCCTGTGCTCCGCAACGGGAGAGGCCACAACAGTGAGAGGCCAGCGTACCGCAAAAGAAAAAAAAAAAAACACCCCAAAACTAACAACCATATTTTGCAGTTTAGGATGCATGCAGTATTTCTATCATTATTCTTTACGTCATAACAAAAATTATGAAATGGTCTAGAAATAGTTCAGTACTTGCATGAATACTGTTAACTCCAGAGAAAATCAAATGCTTAGCCTCTAAGCTTGTAAGGCAACAAAGTCAGGCAATCAAAAACAATGATTTACAATATTTCTATTTAAAGTCTGAACCCATGTTGAGGGGGACTATCTTAACTATATCCCAGAGGCCTTTCTGTTTGACTCATGTCAAACGTAGATAAAGACTTAATGACTAAAGTGAAATTTTTAATGAATTTCAAAACAAACATTTCACTATTTTAAATAAATATTGTAATAATTTTTTACTTGTGATATAGTAAAAACAATAACAGAGAAGATAATATGCTGAATCACAATGCTAGGAATTGCTCTTTGATAGGAGAGTGAAAAACATCCTATTCCAATAAAATTATACAATATCTGAGACTTACCTCAAAATAATCTAGAGGAGGGTAGGGAATGGGGAGGAGAGAATAATTGGTGTTAGAGATGAAACAAATTGTCTATGAGTTGGCAGCTGCTGAAGATGGGTAAATTATGTATGAGCATTCACTATACTACTTACTTCAGTGTTTAAATTTTATTGTAATTAAATACATATACAACTAACAACCTTAATAAATGCTGCATTTTGCTTCTTGAAATTCAGATACCACTTCGAATTCAAAATAATGATCGGCACTCCTATATTGAGGCTTGAGAAGAGTCATCCCATATTCCATAAGCCTTGCAGGCTAGCATAAACTATTAGGTTATGTTTGAGAACACATTCCCTCTATAAATTAGTAAGTAAAAAAATTAGTGAATTCATCTACCTTATTAGGAAATTACTAAAATTCAAAATCCAGCAATGCTTTGGGTCAACAGTTTTCTACCTTCCCTGGTGGCCTTACAGGTATATAAATAGCCACCATAATGTTTGTAGTCTTTCCTTTCCAGAGGATTCAAAACCACCTTCAGAAAATCTACATATACACATAATTGTCAGTAGCTCAAAGTTTAAAGGAGGGGCTTGAAAGAGAATATGATGACCATGCACCTCTACGCTTTAAAGGCCCCAAGGGCTTTTCATCAAGGCTACAATTAAATGTGGCTTGTTGTAGGCTGACTGATAGAGGGAATCCAAATTATTGCCTAGCTGATACTGCATTAAACCATTTTTCACTAGAATTCCTTTTTCCAGACAGAGCAATACAAGCTCTACTGCCAGGTAAATGTCCTGGGAGAGACTGGCCTATCACGTAACAGATCAGGAAGTAAATTTTCATTTCAGAGGAGTCCTTGGAGGAATATTTTAATTTTGCTTCTGCAAACACACATAGTATATCCAGTTCCCTTTTAAAAATTTCCCTCTCTCTCTCACTCTCTCTCTCTCTCTCTCTCTCTCTCTCTCTCTCTCTCACACACACACACACACACACACACACACAGAGCCCATAATCAGGCTCTAGTTTAAAATGCACCCAGTTGAAGAGGAGTAATGAATAACAATGGACCTCATCATCTGCCTGCCGTAACCGGGCAACAGCATAACGCCTCACTGTTGGATTGGTGTAATGAGAGGACAACAGCTCCAAGGAATCCTCTACATCCATTGGCTTCCATTTTCCCAGAAGTTCCAATGCCTGTTTGGCCTCCTGGGGTAGATCCCAATTAACACATTTCAAGAACTTCGTCAAAGCCTAAAATCAGAAAAGGTTTAAGAATTAGAAGCAATAGCTTATTCTGGGATAGGAAGGGTCAAGGGTGACTAGGCAGAGCTCAGCTTGGACCTGATGGCAGAGTCACAAAGTCAACGACTGACTCCTTACATAAACACTTTGTTTAGTGTTTAGTATACACACAATCCTAGAAAAACACTGCAGAACGAGGAAAAAAAAAAAATCATGTTCCTTGTAACTATGTTTTTTTCAGGTCAAACCACTATGAATTTTTATATTTTCTTCAGCTTTTCTTCATTTTGCTTTTGTTATTTTAAAACACTGCAGACCTCAAGACAGGGAAATAGTTGATGCATGTCTCACGAACTCTGAGATACCTTAGAGAAAACCTTCATTTTACAACATCGACATGTGAGACATAAGAGATTGCAGCCAGTGAATGAGAGTCCAAAGTCCAGAAGGGCAGAACCCCACTCTTGAACACCTCCCAGAGTCAATGGTTTTCCTAGATACTCACATACAAGGACTCAAATGAAGTCAAATATGTATGTCTCTTTTACACAGAGAAGTAACTATTGGGGAATTAGTGTTTAATGGGGACAGTTTCAGTTTAGGAAGGTGAAAAATTCAGGAGATGGATGATGGTGAGAGTTGCACAACAGTGTGAATGTACTTAGTGCCACTGAACTGTACAGTTAAATATGGTTAAAATAGTATGTTTTATATTATGTGATTTTTACCACAATTTAAAAAAACATTAAGAAAAAGACAAAAATTCCACAGAAACAATAATAAAAATAAATACATAGAAGCTCCAGCTTCTGTATATATATTCTGATTCAGCTGGCTGTTTGCAGAATCATTCTGGAGCCTCACTTCTTTAGAAAGTTTGTGAAGTCTTCATAAGACTATTGGGTAAGTAACCTACCTTTGAGCATATCATTAATGGCTGCATAACAATAAATGCTCTTTAAAGAAAGGTTTATACCTGTTTTCCATAAAAAGTAGTCCCTATTGCCAGATCTCCCTACTGGCAACACTTTTTCTGGCTGATCCCAAGACATTTTCTTTTCTCTTCCTCTATGAATTCATCTCTTGAACAAAGATAACTTCAAAATTTTAAATTCCTGCTCTGCCCAATTAAAAATATATTCATTAGTAAACTAATCAACCTCTCAAAAATGTTCACTTGGACAATAAAACACAATTACTCGTTAGTATGACATAAAATGAATCTTCATTCCCATTCCCTAACTTACTCTTAATTTAACTAAATTAAGGAAACAGGCACTGTGGAGATGATCTAGTCCAGTGCTCAAATTTGTATATAATCTCAGTGAAGTGGCTTGCCCATCGTCTCAAAATGGTGACAGGCTAGACCCAGAATCTAAATCCACTGACCCTCAGCCCATGCATGTTACACCAGATGGCTCCTCCTTATCATTAAGGCACTGCATCTCCTACTTAGCTAGGCCCATGCCCCTTGGAGCCATTACTCCACCAACACTTATTTCCTAAATCTGTTGTAGGAAAAAAATGGGGTGCAAGAGGAGGGTCACATCCCAGGTCTTGAGTGAGTCCCTGGGACTGGCCACCTAGTGAGGGCCCTTGGATTCGCATAGGAAAGAATTCAAGAGCCAAACACAGTAAAGTGAAAGCAGGTTTATTTAGAGAGATACACACTCCACAGACAGAGAGTGGGCCGTCTGAGGAGAGTGGTCATGGGAGATACACGTTCCATAGACAGAATGCAGTCTGTCTCAAAAGGCAAGAGTGGCCCAGAAATGTGGGGGTGGTTAGTTTTTATGGGCTGGGTAATTTCATAGGTTAACAGGAGGGAGGATTATTCCAACTATTTTTGGGAAGGGGCAGAGATTTCTAGGAATTGGGCCACCGCCCACTTTTTGGCCTTTTATGGCTGGCCTCAGAACTGTCATGGCACCTATGGGTGTGTCATTTAGCTAATGTATTACAATGAGTATATAATGAGGCTCAAGGTCTCCCGGAAGTCAAATCTTCCGCCATATTGGGCCTATTAGGTTCTAACCAGTTTTTGTGGTATCCTGTTCTTAATGGTTGTATCATTCTTTTAATGGTTGTGCCCTGCCCCCTTCCCTCCTGTCTCAAATCCATCCCCAATTCCGGTCAATTATTTCCTGGCAATATTTCCTGTTGTTCCCCTCTGATTCTCACTATACCAAACATCTAGAGTTTGGCACAGCCTTCTAGCTAAGAGCTTCAACACCAGTTTCTTTTCTAATCATTTCACAGACTGTCAGACACTCAAGCTGGAAGTGATTTTATTAGCACAAACTTCCACTGTCAGCAGAAATTTACATTATATCTCTGCCCAAAAGAGACCCAATATTTACCTAAGCAATTCCAGTGACTAATTTCCAAAGTACTCATTGTATTTAGACAGTGAAACCATTTTTGTTGTTTTTTAAACCTTGGCTTCTTTCTCAAAACATTCCTTGATACCTCTCACCACAAACCAAACCTGTGACTCTCATTAAGCTCCCATTGCCCCTCTATGCTTCAACCAAGCTAACCTATTTTATAATGACTGTCTAATTTCCGTCTACAAGGAGTTCCTTCCTTCCTTATGCTCTTCGCCAAAACTTTAGTGTCATCTTCTTTAAGGCCAGCTTGTCAAAATCTCAACTTTTCCAGGCAGTTTTCAGCAACTTTCAGCTCTTCTTTTAGTAGCTGACTCAGTTTTACTATCTTCATTTAAATGATGCTCTTCTAACTACCAAATGCTTTTCTGGGCATTCTTATGTCTACAACTGGAGTCTGCATCCCCCAAGGATAGCTATCCATTTCTTCTGTACCTCCTGCACACCATTTAGTGCAGTGCTCGCTCTCCATATAAAAACATGGACTGCCCTCCTAACTTATTCTATGCATTTATTTTTCACTTCCAAAATGCATTTCTAGACTGAATGTGTAAACAAAGCAATACTTCTTAAACAACTACAGTGAAAGCTTTGCCATTTCACAGTACATCAGTAGTCTTAATAGAAATGTGCAGGTATGTACTTATTATAAGCAAATCTCGCAGCAGGCCAATGTACTCAGTTCAGCAACCAAAACAACCTAACTCCCAGATTCTCAGATTTATAGATTTATTAGTAAGATTTACGGAATACACTGCTGCCAGGGAACTTAAGACACTGTACAAAGATTTCACAACTTGATAATGCTAAATGTTACAAATGTAAACAAGGAGATAATAGAATGAAGGAGGAAACAAGAAGAGTAATGAGAAAGAAAGGAAGTGTAACAATTTGAAGACAGCGATAATAATGATGATACTTAATCTCAGGTCCTTTAAAGATGATTTATTGATCTATGTAAAACAAAGGTACAGGATTCAAATGCAATTTTATCCCTAGAGCTTCCACAGATAGTATAGGCTTTACACTAAGCCAAGGTGTTTGGGTTTAAATCTTAATTTCCAGCTCCATCAATTATTACTGTGTCATAGGGAGCACATTATTTAACTTTCAAGTGATCTATCTCATAAGGTTGTGGTAAAAATTAAATAAGTTAATGAATATAAATGCTTAAAATAGGATATATATATAATAAATAGTTGATAAATGTTAATTATTTCAACTCTGGTATTATTGTTGTTCTATTTCTGTTGATGAGTCCAGCATCAAATGTTAACATTATTGTAGGTATTACCATGTTTTATATTAATAGCAATAAATATTCTGTTAACCTCCTTTCTGATCTTAGAATCACTTCATTGTTATCTCCTACTTTTAGAATCATGATCACATTTCAGAGCTGAAAACACTGTATTTATCATATATATTTCTAATATTAACTTCTACCAACTAAATTTTGGAAATTACTACCATGTTGTTAAAGGAAAACCTGTTCTACTCAAGACACTTCTGACATCAAATGTGTGGGTTGTCCACATGAACCAATTCCCTAATTCTCTGCAGACACTGAGTGTTCTACAATTTAACTGAATTCTGACACTCAGTGCAGATTGCAGAGGTTAAGGGGTTAGTCTCATAACACTGCTTCCCATTTCAGATGCCAAGAGCAAACACTGGATTCTCAGGTACTCATACTTCAGCCCAGCTTGGCTACATATTGGGGATTCCCATGACCCTTCCTCAGGCTCAATAATTTGCTATAATGGCACAAAGAATTCAGAGAAATATATTATAAAAGATATAAATGAATAACCAGGTGAAGAGGTACATTAGGCAAGATCCGGAAGGGTACCAAGCACAGGAGCTTCTGTCCCCATAGTTAGGAATGTGCCACCTTCCTAGCATATGGATGCATTCACCAACCCAGAAGCTCTATAGGTTTTCATAGAGATTCCATAACGTAGACACAAGTGATTAAATCATTAGCCATTCTTGAGTTATTAATTCTATCCCCAGCCCCTTTACGATCTCTCCTCCTCCCTCCACAGAGGTCAAGGGTGGGGCTGAAAATTTCAACCCTCTAATCAGAGGTTTGGTTCTTTTGGCAATGAGCCCCACTCTCCAAGAGTCACCTCATTACCATAAATACAGGTATAGTTGAAAGGGGCTTACTATGAAAAACAAAAGACACTCCTCTCATCCTTACCACTCATGAAATTCCTAGGGTTTTAGAAACTCTGTGCTAGGAACCAGAGATGAAGACCAAATATATGATTTCTTACTATATCACCGTATCACAGCTATTCTAATATTTTAAATTCAAAACATTCAAAAACGAAATATCTCCTTACTCTGCTCCTTCCGCTTGCCATATTTCCTTATTTCAGTCACTCAGGCCTAATTCTTGGGAATTACCTCCAAGTCATTTTACACATTACCCTCCCCTTCCTTTGCTCTCCAATACAGCTCTCAAAATCCATACATAAGCCTCCTAATTATGTCTCTTTTTTCATTCTCAGCTCTGCTCCAATCCACCTGGTTCATCTTCCTTAAAACATCACTTACTTAGACACATTCTGTTTGCTTTAGGGGTTTCCTATTGCCAGTGATATCCAACTCCGAACCACAGAATTCAAGGCTCATTACAATCTGATTCCACCTTTTCTATTTAAAGAACGTTTCATACAAACTTTTCTGTCTCCTGAACCTAACACTCTGCCTTATTCATGCTTTTCTTTCCCATGAAAAATTATCATCAAATAAGAATGACCATCAAAGTTTGTTCAAACTTCAAGACCAATCTTGGCTCTGTAAAACCTCCCTCATATCTTAGCACACTGATCTTGTTCTCCTTCATATCTCTATTATAGTAATTAATAACTGTTTACTAATAAGACAGTGACCCTTTATCAGTTACTATCCTCTACTTCTCCATTTTGGCTTTCCCCAAAACAGTTTAATTTTAAGTTTCCCCAAAACAGTTTTAATTTATATGAAATTTACAGGGACGTAATACCTCGAAGCTCAGAGCCTTAAATAACACTAGGCCAAGAGTTGATACCAAATGCTTGCTGAATTGAATTCATTTCTGCTATGGTTTGCCATCAACTTCTTGCCAGGAGGCACAAATATTATTGTCCTGATGTCACTGTCTCAGAAGCAGCCTCATAAGAGCATTCAGTGTGCATCACTATTACCTTCACCATTATGACTCTTCCTACTATTTTTGTTCCCTAAGCATAATGGAAAGGCATTAATATAACGGTTATTTTTCATTAACATTTTAATAAGAAAGGCCATTTACCATGTTAAAAGCTGAATTTTTTTTTAAGCTGAATTTAAAAAGTTACAATAGTCACATTTTGAATTCTGCAAAAATGAGTCACTTCCTATATGCTATGGACCACAAAATTAAAAATACTTCATAAATTCAACTGATTTTGTTGGACAAACTTATTACTGTGAACTTTTCAGGTACAGCATCAAGTCTAGACTAGAGGGCTTTTTATCCGAAATACTTAAGACAGGTCATTTAGAAAAAAATAGGTGGAAAGACCAAATTTACTATTATTTAAACTATTTATTTATTAAAAAAATAAATAAGAAGTACAACTTTGTAAGAACCAATTTCCACCAACTTGTTTCCTGAGCACTGCTTTCTCTCTAGGAAATCTTTTCAGTCTTAGGGCTCAACTGTCAAATACCTAAATCACAGTTCCTGAGAAACTGGCACTGAACGAATTTCTTTTATAAATAAATTAAAGGACAATGGTACAGGAGTATTTATTTTCTACAAAACCCATTTTAAATTATTACAAAGATACAAATGTAGCTATTTTAATAATTCCTTTGGTCACTTCAAGACCAATATATATTTGGCTTTCTGAAAAGTGCTTCCTAGACAAAAAACAGCATTCACTCTACTCTAGTGATCTTAAGAATCCTGTAATATGTCCTGAGAAGTGAAGTTTCATCACTTACCTTTCAAAAAGTTGAAATCAATTAGCTAAATGAAACTTTTCACACACTTTATATCACTTGAGCATTTTTTCTTTTGCACATATCTAGAAGTAATTGAATTTCAGTGGGAAGTGACGACTTGTTAAAGCAAAGTTTTCCTTGGAAGCGTTTCTATCTAAGGGAGTTCTGCTTTGTAAATCTATTCTATGCTTCTTGAACCTATACATTCTAACAAGTTTAATTCAATATCTTACTGCGTATTTTTAGACAGCACTGTGCTGCATTCAAGATGCAATTTCTGTGACCAAGGTTACTCATTTAACAGAGTATCACAATACTAACTCAATGTTTTTATAAAAGACAAAAATCATAAACCTGTGCTTCTGCTGATGAATCTTTCCTTCTTTGCAGGGATAAAGAGAATAACACTCAAAAGCTATAGCAAATTTAAAATTCCTCTCTCATTCTTGTTATAGATATAAAAGAGAATGAATATGATTCATCTACAAAGAATTTCCCAAGCCATCAATAAAAGATAAAGAAGAAAAGCTGAAGAGTTAAAATGAGCTGTAACTGGATTTTTATCTTTACTTTAGAGACTAAAGGAAATACAATTGTTTCAGAAAAACAAGTTAACAAAGTAGCTAAAGACAATCTCATAAGATTGTAAACATTCATTCATTCATTCATTCTCACATAATTATGTATCTGACAGATATTAATTTTCCTGATGCTTCTGTTTTGTCCACAATGCATTTCAGAATTCCTGTTATGGCATGCATGATGCTGTATTTTCTGTATAATCCTCTTTTCTATGACTTCACTGACTACCTTCTCTACTAACTCATAAATGTGAGCCTATCAAGAAGCAGCATTTATAAGCTTTGATTCTGCACAGGTTCCTTAATCTCTCTAAGACTCAGGTTTCCTCATCTGTAAAATAGTAACAATAATACCTATATTGTGGGGTTGTTGTGGGATATCAAATATCCCTGACACACAGTGGTTGTTTAATAAATGCTGGTTATTATTATTATACCTTAACAGTCTTTGAACCTATGTTCTAAGAATTTACCGACTATTTTATGAACTAGAAGAGACTTAAAGTTCACTATAATTTAATGGACTCATACTAAATATGAGGAAACTAAAGCAGTCAAAAAGCTTCTTTGTGACAATAAATAGTAATAAATAGTAAGCCTCAAAACTAAGTCTCGGGCTTCCCTGGTGACGCAGTGCTTGAGAGTCCGCCTGCCGATGCAGGAGACGCGGGTTCGTGCCCCGTTTCGGGAGGATCCCACATGCCGCGGAGCGGCTGGGCCCGTGAGCCATGGCCGCTGGGCCTGCGCGTCCGGAGCCTGTGCTCCGCAAATGGGAGAGGCCACGACAGTGAGAGGCCCGCATAACGCAAGAAAAAAAAAAAAAAAACTAAGTCTCTACACTCAAGTCTAGTGCTTCATCCCAATTCTCTCTCTCCAGAAACTTTATCTACTCCATAGTTTCATTATGGAAAGCAAACGTCTAGTTCTGACCTAGCCTCTATCCTCATGCCAAGCTGGATGCCATTCCACCAACTCAATTTACCATTTCAAATTACATTTCTCATACTCCCTCTCTAGCCACATCTCCTCCAGAATTCTATAGTTCTTTAAATAACATAAATCTTTTGCCGGCCACCCAGGCTCAAAGAGGTGAGAAGAATGAAGATAAAGTGAGTCAACATTTACTCTGCACCTTCTATGCATTAAGTACCCAACCAGGTTATTCATCTGTATTATCTCACCTGTGAAGGAGAGTTGTCATAATTAGGAAAACGAGGAAACAAAGCTTCCAAAGCAACTTGCCTCACCTTACCCAGTAAGAATAAGTTGTAGTGCTGGAAACTGAGCCCAAGTCTCTCTGATTTAACCCATTCAGACATTGTCTATACATCAACAAATAGGTACATGTGTCTTTGTGTTTTAAATTTTTAAAAAATGGAGTAACAATATATATTACTCTATAAACCTTTCTTTTTTCAAGTTTGACAATAAGTCTGTATTTCTACAGCAGTTGTACTTCATTTTGCTCATTAGCAACAAAGTTTATAGATAATTTGATATAAGAAAATATTCAAAACACTCACTTTTTCTTGATTAGTAAGATAATATCTAAACTTCCATACAAGATCTTGTTCTTCATATGTAAGTTGCTTGGTTGGTGGATAACTCACAATAATCTACAACAAAGAAAAAAAAAACTACTTTTGTCAAATAAAAAAAATCTTCCTATATATTTCCATTTCATTTAAAATTTTTCATTCATTTAAATATATCTATAATTGAACAATTATAGAAGCAAGGAGAATATGCATGCAGCCAAGTAAGACTTAAATTTGCTGTATTTATCAGTTCAAAAAGTATATTAGAGTATAAGAGGAGAAAAAGATAAGATAAAAAAAAGTCAAGTTCCATATTAAAAAAAAAAGTATGTAATTGCAGAGCTAATTTACTTCAACCAAAGACACAACAAATCCAAATAACAAAAGCTCTCCCCCACCAAACTACTGCATGCAAGATAGGCTCAAGGATTGTACAACACAGGGAATAGAGACAATAATTTGTAATAACTGCAAATGCAAAGTAACCCTTAAAAATTGTATAAAACATTTTTAAAAAAATAAAAATGAGGGAAAAAGTCCCCAACACACACACAAGAAAAAAAAAAACACCCAAATGATAAACATTTCTCTTGTTAAGTCAGCGGAAGCTCAGGCAATGTATCTTAGGGCCAGTTTCTAAGAACACTATATCAAGAAAGCATATACTATTTGCAGTTCTGTCTCTAGGGCTAATATATTTCCTGAAAGCCCCAAAATGATATAAAACTACATAAATGTGAAGTTGTTGAAATTACATAGGGTTCATTAACCTGTGTCTGAATCACTTTTAAGTGATGTGCCATCGCATCAGTTGCAACCAGAATACCCACTTAATTATTTTTAAATTAATATTTTATAAATTGTCTTACATTCAGTTGATCTCTTGTGGCAGCATTAGGTTTGAGATCGTGGTCAGAAGGTCCACTTCTTAAACTCCGGGCAAGTTTGTGGTGTTTGCTCTCAACTAAATTTTCCTATAAATTAAGCAACAATGTAAATTTCACCAGTAAGCAGTTTCAACAGCCACTTAGAAATAGAAAAGTAAATAGTACTTATTTAAGCCCAGTTTATAATATTTAACACTTTATTCGTGTTACAACTTTAGTCTCCTATGTATCTTGTGGTGATAGGGAAAGTAAGCATAACTTATGCTTCACCAGGCACACTTGAGCATGCCATTCCAGTTTCTAGTTTTAACTCTCCATTGTATTCAAGGTTTTATACCCTCTACCCACTCAAATGTCACCTTCACTCCAAAATCTCCCCTGGCAACTCAGATTAAAGCACTCCCTCTTCCTATGAGCTACTAGTGACTTCATGATATAATTGTATTATCATCTTAGAGTTTAACTGCCAGTAGTAACTGAGGGCAGGGACAATGAATGACCAAAATGCTTAACTATTTTACCTACGGCCAAAATCATTAGTTTTGAACATACTGTCTTTGCTTAAGAGACTTTATTTTATTCACTTTGTCATGTGCAAATTGTCTGTTCATGTTTTTTTCCTAATTTGGCTTTTTGGTCCTTTATTCTTCAGTTTTTAAGAGTTCTTTACATATTAGATATTCAGTTCTTTGTCTGTGATGTATGTCACAAACAGTTTCTCCCAGTTTGTCAATTGTCTTTTGACTTAACAGCGTTTTTGCCATGCAAATTTTTTAACATAGTCAAATTTATCAATCATTTCTTTTGTTGCTTCTGGATTTTGACTCAACTTTAGAAAGTCTTTCCTTACACTGACAGTAAAGTACTAGTAAGCTTTCATTTTATAATATTTAAATCCCTGATTCATTTGGAGTTTTTCCTTATGTATGGTGTGATGTGTGGATTTGATTTAATTTCATCTTTTTCCAAATGGCTCATTCCCCAACACTATGCTCCAGTGATGAAATGCCACCTTCATCAATTTACTTATGTACTTGGATCTATTTCTGGGATTTTTAGTCAGTTCTACCAGTCCATTTGCATACATGTACTAGTACCACACTTGTAACTGTAGAGTCTGTTTTACTGTCTGATACAGTGATATACCAGCTTAGCGGCACTCAATGTTTGTTAAAATATATTCCTCTGTTTAGTTAATACTAATGGCTACAAATTAAAATTTTTTAACATGGGGGTAAGGAGGGTAGGTTTTTTCCTTAATCTTTTGTTTTTTCTTGATTGTATTTAAAACTAAAAATTGTTGACAGAGGTCCTAGATCTTTGTTTTTTAATTACAGCATCCATAATATTAAACCTATAATTGTTGACAAGCGTTTTCTTTAGAAAAAAATACACTAAATATACAGACATCTCATTTACCTGACATTTTGGTAGGAGTTAATATGGTCCCAGTATGACAAAACTTGAATACTCTCAACCATTTGGAAGGTTAACCATTAGTGTGTTTCAAATATCCAGAATACAAAATAAAATTTGATTTTATAATGAAAATTCAGTGTTAATTTTATTTTTATTTTTTAACGTTTCTATTGGAGATAATTGCTTTTTGATTTTATAATGAAAATTCAGTGTTAATTTTATTTTTATTTTTTAACGTTTCTATTGGAGTATAATTGCTTTACAATGGTGTGTTAGTTTCTGCTTTATAACAAAGTGAATCAGCTATACATATACATATATCCCCATATCTCTTCCCTCTTGCATCTCCCTCCCTCCCACCCTTCCTATCCCACCCTTCTAGCTGGTCACAAAGCACCGAGCTAATCTCCCTGTGCTATGCGACTGCTTCCCACTAGCTATCCATTTTACATTTGGGAGTGTATGTATGCCCATATATACATTACCACTCTCTCACTTTGTCCCAGCTTACCCTTCCCCCTCCTCATGTCCTCAAGTCCATTCTCTAGTAGGTCTGCATCTTTATTCCTGTCTTGCCCCTAGGTTCTTCATGACCATTTTTTCTTTTTTTTTTTTAGATTCCATATATATGGGTTAGCATACGGTATTTGTTTTTCTCTTTCTGACTTACTTCAATCTGTATGACGGACTCTAGGTCCATCCACCTCACTACAAATAACTCAGTGTCGTTTCTTTTTATTGCTGAGTAAATTCCACTGTATATATGTCACAACTTCTTTATCCATTCAGCTGTCGATGGACACTTAGGTTGCTTCCATGTCCTGGCTATTGTAAATAGAGCTGCAATGAACATTGTGGTACATGACTATTTTTGAATTATGGTTTTCTCAGGGTACATGCCCAGTAGTGGGACTGCTGGGTCGTATGGTAGTTTTATTTTTAGTTGTTTTAAGGAACCTCCATACTGTTTTCCATAGTGGCTGTATCAATTTACATTCCCACCAACAGTGTATGAGGGTTCCCTTTTCTCCACACCCTTTCCAGCATTTACTGTTGGTAGATTTCTTGATAATGGCCATTCTGACCGGTGTGAGATGATATCGCATTGTAGTTTTGATTTGCATTTCTCTAATGATTAATGATATTGAGCATTCTTTCATGTGTTTGTTGGCAATCTGTATATCTTCTTTAGAGAAATGTCTATTTAGGTTGCCTGCCCAATTTTGGATTGCGCTGTTTGTTTTCTTGATATTGAGCTGCATGAGCTGCTTGTAAATTTTGGAGATTAATCCTTTGTCAGTTGCTTCATTTGCAAATATTTTCTCCCATTCTGAGGGTTGTCTTTTGGTCTTATTTATGGTTTCCTTTGCTCTGCAAAAGCTTTGAAGTTTCATTAGGTCCCATTTGTTTATTTTTGTTTTTATTTCCATTTCTCTAGGAGGTGGGTCAAAAAGGATCTTGCTGTGATTTATGTCATAGAGTGTTCTGCCTATGTTTTCCTCTAAGAGTTTGATAGTTTCTGGCCTTACATTTAGGTCTTTAATCCATTTTGAGCTTATTTTTGTGTATGGTGTTAGGGAGTGATCTAATCTCATACTTTTACATGTACCTATCCAATTTTCCCAGCACCACTTATTGAAGAGGCTGTCCTTTCTCCACTGTATATTCCTGCCACCTTTATCAAAGATAAGGTGACCATATGTGCATGGGTTTATCTCTGGGCTTTCTATCCTGTTCCATTGATCTATCTTTCTGTTTTTGTGCCAGTACCATACTGTCTTGATTACTGTAGCTTTGTAGTATAGTCTGAAGTCTGGGAGCCTGATTCCTCTAGCTCCGTTTTTCTTTCTCAAGATTGCTTTGGCTATTCGGGGTCTTTTGTGTTTCCATACAAATTGTGAAATTTTTTGTTTTAGTTCTGTGAAAAATGCCAGTGATAGTTTGATAGGGATTGCATTGAATCTGTAGACTGCTTTGGGTAGTATAGTCATTTTCACAATGTTGATTCTTCCAATCCACGGTGTCAATTTTAGATCTATTAACTTTATTTTATTATGCTAGGCATAGGATCTGTGAAGGTACTTAGGTGTTTGTTTCTAAGATTCCCGAGTGACCTTTGTTTTCTAACTTTTTATTCGCTTTTCCCCCCTATTTCTTCCTTTGATGTTAGGCAATCAGCCATTACTTCCTGCTCTAATGAACTGTATTTACTCCAGTCATCATGTTCTCATCTTCCCATGTACTACTTTTTATCTACTTTGTTCTGATTAGGAAGGTAATTAATCTAATTAGAAATGTATAAAATAAGGAGAAAATAGTTCAGAGTGATATAAATGAATTCTAAGTGTAAATATCACAGTATCTATTATGTTGCTATAAGGATTTTTTGCCTGGAACTTTCTAAATCTGAAGTCATCAAATTAAATCTCTGCTGCAAAGTAGGAATTCTTCCTCTTTCTTATTCCTGAGAGCTATTATCTCAACAATCCAATGCAGGTATATCAAAATCCTCCAAGACACCATAATCCAAATTGAATAGTTCTAGTAGCTACAATAATCTTCCCTATTTTTCAACAAAATCAGTCTCCCTAAAATTTCCATCCATTGATCTTAGTGTTATCTTCTGGTATAAATAAATTTCCCTTCTGTTATGATGACAATCTTTCAAATGCTTGTTACCCCAAGTCCTTCAAGACTGCATTCCATAGTTTTTTCAATAATTCAAACAAAATGGTTCCCCAACACTATACTATCTTGACCTTTATTGAAGGTGTTAATATTTTTTGTAAAGATTCCATCTGAACCTGATTACATATATCAATAGCTGAAGTGAATTTATGAATCACTTTTAAATAACCAATGTAGTTACAGATATAGTTTTTAAAAAGAAAGTATATGATGTGGATCTAAGTCAATCACTCTGGAAAAAATAATTTTCATAAGAAATTTGACAATGACTCACCATAGACATCTGAGGGTCAGGAACTTTCACTATCTCAAAGCTTGTTAAGATTGGAGATGACTCATCACCATCCTGGATTACAGCATAACAAGTTTAAAAAAAATTTTTTTTAACCAAATGGTTAAAATGTCATACATGATCATGTGCACTCTAATGTATTTTAATTTTCAATGAACATCGTTCCTCCCTTTAAAAAATTATCTTCTTTCAACTATATTTTAAAATACATATCCATTTTTTACCTTTTGTTGCTGATAAAATATTTTGAGAAAAATAAACTCTAACAATAAAAAAAAATCTGTATTATAGTTTTTAGAGATATGAGGTCTGGAAATTAGTAGATTGTCTCTGTCCGGATTTTGTTTTAAACTTTGTTTACAATGACTGAGTCAAAACCGTATGCCCTAATTTTCAAACTTAGAACAAGAAACCAAAGAGTATAATTAAAATATGGCACAATGGATCTGTCGCATCATTTGCAAAAACTACTAAGTGGATTTTGGTAATTTTTCAAATTATTACAATTAAGTTCCACTCAGATAAGTAGAATTTTAAATGTGGGTTAACATTACTCAAACTTACATATGACTAGAAACTCAGCAGCATTGCTTCTCAGAGGATACTTACTCAATGCAATGCAAATTTGAATAGCAAGAATCAATCCATCAATTCTTAAGAAATAAATCTGTCTTATTTTGTTGGTATTATCATTTTTGAAGAATTTTGGCTTTTACTTTTATCCAATTCAGGCAAGAAAGGTAATTCTGCATAATAAATGTCACTGCATACATCCTGGAAAAGGATAAACTAATTAAGGTTGAAATTCATTTCCTCACAACTGTACACCTAGCATCAAGTTTTTCTGTCAATTTCCAAATGCTAGCATATTTTCAATTTTAGATATGAACAACAAAATCAGGAGAGACTGAAAGAAGGGAAGCATTGTGACTTGACTTTAGGTTCAGTAATTGAGTCCTAGAGAAAACCACATATTCCCACAGCCATTGTTTAACAAGCTGGTTCTCAATCACAACATCAGAAAACACATTTATCAGCCCAACTGTGACAAGTAATCTTCACTAAGGCCATCTGTCACAAAAGACAGGTGACAAGAAAGTCTATTTCCATTAGATTCAATACACTGGCCCAGCAATCTTTACACTAAGTGGAAATATGACAGGGTAGGTAGACAGGCAATAATTTATGGGCAATTTTCAAGAAGCAGTAGAAAGGGGTCAAGAACCTTTTCAAAAATACTTGAAATTCTTCTAATTTCTATTCTGTTATTATTTCATCTATCAACAAAGCTGTCTTTCAAAAGATCCTTCAAGTCTCTAATGATTGAAAGTACCATCACCATTAGCATGTTTCTGCAATATAAACTCCATATGGGCAGGAAATATTGCTTTTAATGAAATTATATATAGTAAAAATGTGAAAAGTGATTTTATTAAGATGTATTTGTAACAAAACAATTTCACTCACCTACATTTCCCTTTTTAACGTAGTCTAATGAATTAGCAAACAATATTAAATAGTCTATGTTCTTATCTTTTTTTTTCCCCCACAGAGTACTATTTATAAAATAAAAAACTGAAACAAGTTAACTTTTCCTAACCTTTTACTTTAGGAAGGGGTACAAGCTAAAGGGAAAAATACATTAACTTGAAAAGTACCAGAAAAATGATCACAAATTAACTATACAAACCCTAAACCTTCATTATGAAAACACCTTTCAAATAGTAATTTAATAGTTATAAAACATATATTTTTAAAAAATCACTTGTGACAACTTTAATAAATAACACTAATGTGTAAAGGTAATTTAAAGTGCTGCTTCTAATGAACAAATTAACTGCATAGAGCTTAGCTCTATGCTAGAAGAAATATTATTCTATTATGCCATGTATCAAAAGTCCGTCCTCATTCACACTGATTCTGATTCGCACTGTCCTCATAAGCACTTATCTCAGTACTTCCAAAATAACAGAAGGTACCTAATTTATGTGGTTTTGAACTATGCATACTATTATTTCTGTAGTACTAAAATGAAGATCCATAAATAAGCATTTAAGGCACAGATATTTTTCAAGTAGCTAGATATCAAATATACAATACTTTCTTTTGGTAATGAACAGACCAGATCAAATTCATAACTTCATATTCATTACCACTCAGCCTACTGATAACATGGTTTTCTTAATTCTGCATATATTATATAAATGAACATTTATAAGGTATTTCATAAGCATACTTATGTTGGAATTGTTACATATACAATTCCAACACATTACATACACACTCAAATAACAAACATACCCTTACCATTCAATAGCCTACCACATAAAAAATATGATTCCCTCTTTTTACTTTTCAAATGGACACTAATTCTTAATGAAGCTACTGCTTTAATGTCTTACTTGCCAATTTACAGAACAATTAATCAAAAAGTTTTTAATCTCTTGCATATTTATTGAATTTTATAACCCAGAACTGCATTACATGAGTGATCAGCTTTTATAATCTTGTTGTAGCTATATGATTTGATTTGTGTATATACAAACAGCTGCTGCTGACAGCTGTCTGCTGCCATTCTGCAGCCAAAGAATTCACCCCAGCAGGAAAAACGGTAAATTGTTTTTAATGTTTCCCCTCCCTTCTACTTTAGACACCATAAACAGTTCCAAGGAAAATACCTTTTCATAATAAACAATACCATATTCCTTATCATCACACTTGACACATCGAAACTCAACCATCAAGTACATGAAATTAGAACTTCGTTTTTCACTCTAAAAGAAAAAAACAAGATTTTTTATGAAAAATGATTTTCTTCAACATCAGTTTGTATCATTATTCCCAATTCAGTAATACATGGATTCTATCAAATATAATTTAAAATGTAACAAATTTTTATTTCATTATTATAAATGCACTGTTTTACACAGCACCACTATTTCATTATATACAGCACTACTGTTTTATCCAGAAGTGTCTACTACTCACTTATAACTCCCTCCTCAAACTTAATGACTACTCACTTATAACTCCCTCCTCAAACTTAATGACAGTAGTATGAATTCTATTATATAACATTTTAAAGGTATTTCATATACATTTGCAGGAGATTTATTTTATTAAAAAAAATTTGTATTTCTAATAATTTTAAGCAAAGAACAGTTCACCCTTAAACCATATGGACTAATCTAACTGTAGAAATTAATATAAGTATAACAAAAAACAAAAGTAAAACAAAGTGTATGTAACTAAGGACAGAGGTCATTTGAGCTTAACAGATACAACATTTACAAGTTTTTCACAATTTATAAACGGTCTTAAAATAACTTGTAATCATTTGTAAAGTTTTATCAATACACTTTAAATACACTGGGAATAGGTACTTCTTCCCCAACATATAAAATGCTGACTGTGTGTATAAATGTGCCCCCTTAAAAAAGCAAATATTATGTTAATAATGAAGTGAAAATAAAATGAAATTTAAAAGGGTGATTAGTCCTGACCCAAAACAGTTTGAAAAATGGCTTTAAATCTATATGTATATAATCATAAAGATCTAAGGAGGTCACTTAAACTGTTCAGCTTTATGAAGCATATTATAATCTATTATGATAATAGATAGCCTCCTATCTTTTAAAGAGTGCAGATAGAGTGAGTGAAAAAGGCTGGGCAAAGTATGCTCTAATGTTACATTTTCTAAACCCAGGGGTATCTAAGTTGAAGAATAGAAAACTTAAAAATATTTTTTAATTAAAAGTAGGAAAAAGAAAAAAGCATTTTGATTAAACTATTTTTGGAATGTGACTATTATCCAAATTCAAAAAAGTAAAATTTTCTTCCAGTTTCAGTATATAAGAATGTATTATGAATACATTTAGAAAAGATGCCCAGTATTCATACTGAATATAAATGTTGTTAGACACTACTAATTTGTTTTTAAAAAATGAACAATGTCAAAATTTAATTTTTCTAAGTGTTCACTGTAAAATGACAAATTTCTCTCTTTCCACCTGCTGAAAACTGTTGAAAGAACACAAATCAAGTCAGTTGTGCCATGTGGTGATCACTATAAGCTATGCATTTCACAAAATTGCTATTCCTCTCTCTTAATGTGATTAATATATAAGCATTATTTCTGCTCTCTAGACATACAGTATAAGGCCAAACATCTAGTATTTCAGTGCTAGTGTACATAAAAAATTTTTTTGTCGTTCTAACTTTTGTAAAGAGTTTCATTGAAGCCACCTTTTCATTGAACATATTCTGGACCAATACACAAGATCAAGAAAGCACACGAATTACTTGAACCATGTAACCTCATTAAGTGTGCACAGCCCTATATGTACTAAATAAGACAAGGAATATCTTAATTGGGGAGAGGAATTGCTATTGATGACTTAAGGTAACTGAAGTGAAGAGGTTGTTTTGACACTATGTTGACAGAGTTATCCAATCAACTTGGACATAAACTGCCATATGGAGAAAGAGAGAACATACAAGTGAGGCATCAAGCTTAACATGGGCTTCACTTATATGATATTTAGTACACTTATGATATCCACTACCTATTTCGGGGTTCAAGAGAACACTAAAATATAAGAAAGGTAGATATCATAAGCTTTCCTTTTATTAGCATAAACGTCACAACTAGAGGTAATCCTCAATGCTCCCACATTTGAGAGATACCTGGCAATAAATAGCTCTTCTAAAAATTTTTTCAGTTAAAATTCTGGAGAAAATATTTTGAAATAAAAAAGAAGGATACAACCCACCTCATTTATCATTTCTATTTCTCTAAATGTCAATCTGTCCAGCCAATCTACTTTCACCATGTGACCTTGTCGATGAGCTTTGGTGAGCTGCAAAAAATACATAATGGAGAAAATTTTAAGAGACAGATCTCACAGAAAGGAGGATAAAGAATGGTAATGATCATCAACATGACACTGGAAGTACTAGCTAATGCAAAGAAAAAGGAAATAAATGAAATACAGATTGGGAAGAAATAAATAATACTTTCTTTATTCAAAGGTGACATGATCATTTATGTAGAAAATATTTTTAAATGGACAAAAAGCTCCTGGAACTAATAAGCAAGTACAGCAAGGAGGATACAAGGTTCATATATAAAAGTCAATCTCTTTCTTATATATTGTTACCAGCAATCAATAAGTAAAATTTGAAATTAAAAACATAATACCAAAACACAGTATCACTTACATTAGTGCCTCCCAAAAATGAAATTGGTATAAATCTAACAAAATATGTACAAGATCTATGTGATGAAAACTAAAAAACTCTGATGAGCAAAATCAAAGAAGAAGTAAATTAATGGGCAGATACTCCATTCAGGGTAAGATGACTCAATATTGTCAAGATGTCAGTACTTCCCAACTTGATTTATAGATTCAAAGCAATCCTACTCCAAAAACAAAAAAACAAAACAAAACAAAACAAATCCCAGCATGTTATTTTGTAGATATCAACAAACTGATTCTAAAGTTTATATGGAAAGGTAAAGGATCCATAATAGCCAACACAGTACTGAAGAACAAAACTGGAAGCTATATATTACCCAACTATAAGACTTAATATACAGCTACTGTAATCAAAACATTGTGGTACTGGCAAAAGAATAGATAAATGGATCAATGGAACAGAATGGAGTCCAGAAAGAGTCCACATAAATAGAGTCAATGATCTCTGACCAAGAAGCAGAGGCAATAAAATGGAGCAGAGAGTCTTTTCAAATATCGCCGGGATAACTGGACATGCACATGCAAACAAATACATATAGACAAAGACCTTACACCCTTCACAAAAATTAACTCAAAATGAATCACAGACCTAAATGTAAATCGCAAAATACAAAACTCCTAGAAGATAACATAGGAGAAAACCTAAATGACCTTGGGTATGGTGACAACTTTTTAGATACAACACCAAAGGCATAATCCATGAAAGAAATCATTAATAAGCTGGACTTCATTAAAATTAAAAAATTCTGCTCTGTGAAAGACTACGAGAATGAGAAAACAAGCCATGCACCGGGAGAAAATATTTGCAAAAGGCACATATGATAAAGGAATGTTGGCCAAAATATACAAAGAACTCTTAAAACTCAACAATAAGAAAATAAGCAACCTGATTTAAAAAATGGGCCAAAGATCTTAATAAACAACTCACGAAAGAAGAGATATGGATGGCAAATAAGCATGTGAAAAGATGCTCCACATCATATGCCATCAGGGAAATGCAAATTAAAACAATGAGAAATCACTAAACACTTATCAGAATGACCAAGATTTGGAACACTGACAACACCAAATGCAGGTGAGGATGTAGAGCTACAGGAACTCTCATTAATTGCTGGTGGGAATGCAAAATATAGAGCCATTCTGGAAGTCAGTGTGGCAGTTTCTTACAAAACTAAACATACTCTTACCATACAGTCCAGGAATTGTCCTCCTTGGTATTTACCCAAAGGAGTTGAATACTTAATGCCCACACAAAAGACTGCACATGGATATTTATAGCGACTTTATTTATAATAACTATAACTTGGAAGCAATTCAGATGGCCTTCACCAAGTGAATGGATAAATGAATACATTCAAACAATGTTATGCAGTGCTAAAAGGAAAGGAGGTATCAATCAATGAAAAGACAGGGAGGAACCTTAAGTACACATTACTTGCACATTGCTAAGTGAAAGAGGTCAATCTGAAAAGGCTAGGTACAGTATGATTACAACTAAAGAAAAGGTATTGATAAAACTATGGAGATAATAAAAAGATAACTAGTTGCCTAGGGTTGGGGGGGAAGAAGGGATGTATAAATGGAGCACAGAAGATTTTTAGGGCAGTAAAACTACTCTGTATCATACTATAATGATGGACAAATGACATTAAACATTTGTCAAAGCCCATAGAATGTACAATACCAAGAGAGAACACTGAGGTATATGGTCTTTGGGTGATTATGAGTTGTCAGTATAGGTTCATCAATTGTAACAAATTGTAACAAATGTACCACTGTGGTGAGAGGTGTTGACAATAGGGGAGGCTATGCATGTGCTGGGGCAGAGTGTATATGAGAAATATCTGTACCTTCCTCTTAGTACTGCTGTGAATGTAAAACTGTTCAACAAAAATAAAACCTTTAAAAAAATCTAAAAAATCAAAAAAAGAAGTGTTATGTCACCTTCACATTTGATACATTCCTATACACAACAGAATCCACACACAACTATCAAGATAAGAAATGGACTTGGCTAGAGACTAATCATCATAGTTTTTACAGTAAAACAAAAAATTTTAAATGGCCTACAATCTGCCATCTAAACATGCTAAAAAATAATGAAGCCTTTCCTGAAAGTATCTCCATGTTCTATATTTCTTGCATTTTGATTATTACAAAGGGAGGGAATTATAATGATAGTTCTTCAAACTGGAAATAAACTTCTATTTTTTTCACATCTCAATATGAAAAATCACAAACAGTTACATACATAAGGCATTTCTCTGGAGCCTATAATTTACTACTCTAAGACTTAAGTACATAGGTGTGCATGTACGCTTTACTTTTAAGGAGTAATGAAATAATTAACAGTAATAAAAGAACCAGCGGTAAAAGAATTTCTAGAGTTTGCAGTTGGTACAGCCCTCTGAAGGTCTTACATACTAACCTACCCTTGGTTTCACAAATTAAATAATACATTGACCCTTCAAATATACAGAGAATTCAAGATAAATTCCAAGGTCCTCAAACTGAAACTAGATTTTGTCTTAGTGTAATTTTAAACATCAGCATTATTCATGTATCAAATCCCTTCTTTCTTTCTAAACAAATTCATAGCATAAAGCAAAATTGAGCATTAAGGACTTCAATGGTAGCTTGTCTTTATGATTTGTCTTCATTTCCATTACACAAGTTATGATGGTATTCCTACAAGGATGCCAAACACTTCGACCAATTATTATCTCTCTCACAGAACTAAAAATCTTCGTCAATATTCTTTATATTCCTCAACTAAGGGACTCTTATCACAACTACATGGTCATACTCTTTCAGAAATGAAAATAGTAGCTTCATACAAAAAGTCTGAGGATCACTGTAATATAAAAATATTATCAGCTTAGCTTTCTTCTGAATAACAAATTCCTTTTCACTTGAGTTAATCTCTAAATGAAAATGGATGAGGCAACAAAAAGTGTTTAGCACTATTACTCACACAAAGCAGGGACTATAAACATTCTGCTGGCTCTGGTGGAACATTAGACAAATACACTAACATGGAAAGAAAGAGTGATAGACTAGGAGCCATTAGACCTGGGTTTTAACCCTAGCACTCCATTTTCAAATTCTGTCATTTTTGAACCCTCGTGTACAAAAAGAAGTATTAATTTCTATTTCTGCTAGCGAAATTCAAATAGGATAATGGATGCAAAATATGATAGGTAGTATTATTCCATACAGTCTTTAAAGAATTATATTCTCACTCATTTTGCCACATGTTCCAAACTAGTTTTTTAAATGAATAAAAATATAAAGGGTCATATCACATCAACTACCACACTGAAGTGGCAGAGCTAGGATTTAAACCCCAGGTCTATAAAGTCCATACTTCTTCTATCAGTCTTTGCTATCTCCTCTATTAATGCATTCATAGTAAAAGATTTAAGTCTAATTAACTTCTGTAATTTTTTAAACACAAGTTTCATATTTATGATACGGTAGTTGATTCTCCACTAGTTTCCTTTGAGGAAAAAACTGACAATAGCATATTGAGTTTCGATGTGGCAGAATGTGTTGGGCATTTTTCTCTCCCTTACTAAATAATCGAAAATTTTCTAAAGTCATTTCACTAATTCCAGAATTCATGTTTGCTGCCAATAAATATTACTTCCTATATAGCATATTCTTACCTTCTGTGTTTGAATAGTAAAAGATGACCATTCTCAACCTTACAAATAGCAACCAAAGAATGCATGGTCAAGGATGGTAGTACCATAAACTGGTAAAGCCATTTTGGAGTACAAGTTTAAATTACCTGAGATATATTCATATTTGTGCATCATTGTTTGCAATATGGAAAACTTAGACATAAAAGAATGTAAATGTCTATCAATAGTGGGAACTATTAAGTGAACTATTAAGTAAACTATGGCACACACACTAAGAAACACTATAATCAAAAAGAAAGAAAAATCCATATACCCCGATAGGAAACATCACTATGACACTGTTGAATGCAAAAGCAACTGCAGAATGAGACGTACCACTTATGCTATGACTGTTTGTTTACAAGTTTGTCTCACACCAGACTCTTGAGATTGACAGCAGAATTTCTAGATTATTTCTCTGCTTGAATCAGTTTTATAATTTCTGTTGCACTAGAAAGTTACCACTCAAAATGTCCCCTAGCTACTTGTGCTATTTATCTGATACTATGTAACAAAGCACCACAAAACTCAGTGCCTTAAAACACCACTCATTTTAATATTTTTCATGGTTCTTGGAGACTTCAAGAAGGCATTTTCTTGAGGACATCTGGATATTTTTTTTCTCTTAGTCTAACAGTCTCTCATGAGACTGTTGTCATGTGGTAGCTGGAGCTGGAATGTCCAAGATAGCTTCACTCACATTTCCAACGCCTTCATGGGCAAGGATGGGCGCAGGTGGGAAACCAGAGTGGTGGGGCCTCTCTTTCTGAAGGTACTCTCAGTGCTGCTCCCTCTCCAGGTAGTCTTTCAACATATTCACTCCAACTAGGTAGCTGGACTTCTTACATGGTGGATCATTATTCCCCGAAAGTGCAAAAAACAGAAGCTTTCAAGTTGTCTTAAAGTTTAGCCCTG